GCAGAGGCCAGAGCGATGGATTAGAATCAGTGCATTGATTGGAAATAAATAGAAGTGCTGTGTGATGTTGATGCTTCTTCTATACTTTGCTGCAGCGCACACTCGTAGTTTGCTCATGACTCATTTATTTTTTGAATATTTCCTGTTTCACTGACAGCAAAAATGCTCTGATTAAGTTCAAGAATGCGGCAACAAATGCGAGGTCGTGATCAGGTTTCAAAGTTTGACTATTTTTGTACCTTCAGCTGCTTAAAAACACATTTTATTCCATAAACATTTCAGTCACAACTATGAGCACTGGAGAGTGGTTGTCATATTTTCCCATGCCGAGCAGGGACCGCTACTTTAACTGCATACAAACACGGAGATTAAATTAGCTCCACAAAAAATAGGATTTGCTTTTAGGTCATCTGAAACGCCTCGCTTTTAATTACAGCACAGCTCAGGCAGCCGTTCATTACACACAAACCTTTTGCTGACTAAACTGGCAAAGCTTCATTTGAGTTCATGGCTCATGGAAACATTCAAGCTTTTATTATTGATGACACCAGCAGCTTATTCATTATTATGTTGCACTCTTGTGTGTTTAGCAATCAAGTTTAGCCCGTGTTAGCTGGTGAAGTGGTGAGCTAGACAAATGAGTATGGCAGCGAGGAGAAATGCCACATTCCTGGGATTTTTGTAGGCTCTTCAAGTGAGGGATGGTCTCATGTTGCATTTTGTACGGCCGTTAGCGGTAGAAAAAAGGTGTTTATTTAATAAATAGGAGATAAGTAAAAGATACTGACAGCTCCCCCAGCCTCCTAGCCTACGTCGCCTAGTTCATGTACACCTACAGTGTAGGTTGCTTGGGGACGAAGCATATTCTGTTGAATAATGTATCAGTGGCCCAGGGTGTGGAAATCAAAGTCACTGACACTGAAAAACTCTTAAAATAGTTAAGCAGAGACACTGCTGACACACACAGATCAGAGAACACAGAGCTGGCTACTCAGTGTCAGACCTACTGGTCACCTCAGCTTCAGTGTACATCAGAGAGGGCTGGAAACAGTCTCCTACACTGTGATCAAAGAGAATGAGCTCAAGTCCAATGCAAAGTCTATACGCACCATACTTCCTCCTGATCTCATCGTGGCGTGCCATTCTCTCCACCTTCCTGTAAGAAAAAAAAGTAGAGGCAGTTAGTCAACAGGTCAGGAAGTATTCACTCTGTTAGTGCCAAATACACTCCAGAGAAAGACAACACTCAAGGTAGAGAGCCATCATTCAACTCTAACTGGGCCTCCATCATATTTGGATACAAGTGTCCAAACTTTAATGAAACAACATGGAAATAAATGACTGCAACACAGACGTCAGCTGTAATGAGACAACGGGACACCCAGTGAATCCTGAAATGCTACAGATGTTCTGCTCCCGACACCAAATCAACAGCTGGACTGAAGAACGTTTCCTGCTGCTTTGCCCTCGTCCTAAGTTCTCTTTTTATCTGCTCGTCACATATTTGTCAGACATGTTTCTGACAAACCCAAACCTACCTATGTGAAAACACCCCGTCTATCCACATCTATTATATTTAGCTGGTTTAT